TCCAACACAATTCGAATATTTCTTTTTATTTTGATTTGTTGTTAAGCTACTTTCAAATATGCCATCATTTTGGCATAGTAAATGGAGTTTTTGGCCTTGATCTAGAATTAGAAATGAAATTCTGAGAGATTATAGGGAAATGCAATTTTCGTACGCAGCATTGTTACCCATTTATAGTGTGGCAATGCATAGTGGAATTGTATTTGAACATGATATCTTATTTTAGATATTCTTCTGCGGTGAATAATACTTGCCAAAGTTTATTCCATGGTCGTCTTTAACATAAATATAACAATAATAACAACTTAAATGATCCAAATGATCTCAAGGTAAAAGCTATGTCAAAAATATACAAAATTAATTACATATTAATTTAAACCAGCGTTTCGATTACGCATTACAATTTTTTTCTCTTCTCGACTGAACAAACATATTTAAATAATTACGAAAGATGCCAGTTTAAACAACATAACTTTAATGACAGACGATTATATATCAACAAATAAATTAAATAATCAGATAAATTAATTTAAGCAGACGATAATAATATGGAAGAGAAATTTTTCGACCTAAACATTCTCTATAACTATTGAATAATTTAAATAGTCAATTTAAAAAAAACTGTTTCAAATAAAGAAAAGATATTAAAATAGAACTAAATATTTTATCATACGAAACACACACATACACACATTTGCGAAAGCATATCCATATCTGTTCTGTTTTCTAAATTAAACGTTTTTCTCAAATCGAATCAGTTAAAAGTTACAGTAATTCCAAATTAATTTCCAGGAATAAAAACTGTGCATTACTTCATTTCATTTTGTAGAATTTTTAAAACAATATTTTATATTTTAAGCCAATCATGGCTAAGATTTCTCGAATGTTATTTATTATTATAAAGATTAAATAATGTTTTGCGATATGATATAAATTTTCGTATTTCTAGTAAATAACTTCCAGATGACGAATTTGATTTTTAGAGGTGTTCTATGACAAGTACAATTTATCACAAATATAATTTTTATTTCCAAATACGTGTGAATTTATTTTTTCACACACAACGAACAACGCAATATCATATTTTTCTTTTACGTAATAAAGCGTGTATGTTATACTATCACATTATAAAAATACATTTTAGCATTTATTAAGTTCAAAACTAAACATATTTATTTATTTTCAAACTCTATAGAAAAATTGACTTTAATAAACAATCAGCCAATAAATACCTTTAATCACAATATTCTTGAGTAGTCTTAATATATGTCACAAGCTTATCATACACTCAAAATAGATTCTTATAATAAAGCCCTTTTTTATAATAGATATTTTTCTTATAATAGATTCTTATAATAAAGCCCTTAACAAAAATTAAAATTAGACATGGCAAAACTGTATTAATATTAACTTGATGGGATGATTGCATATTCTCTGTAAGTTACATATTAATTTGTTAGAAATAACTGAAAACAACCAAGATTTGTTGTAGAAACGTTTGTCAAATGTTTGAGATTTATAATTCCTAGATCAACATTGAAAATAAAATTAAATGGAAATTTATTACCGTACTCATTTGCGCAGCCCAATTTTGGACAGGGAATTATCAATTAAATTTCCCTAATTAGATCAAAAACTACCGTAAAATACGGCGTATAGTGCGCACCTATACTTTCAAGCTGCAATTTTTAATTTTAAGGTATATTCGTTGCATAACGCACGCCCTCTTTTTACGAAGAAACCTAGAACTTAAATGTGCAATGCTCTTACGTTTTGAAGTCATTTATTCGAGTTATTATCTCAAGAATTTGAAGAAATAGTATACTTCTAGAACAACAACCCTTCAAGTTCATAAACAATGTCATTTCTTTTAAATAAACAGTATTTCGATGCAAGTAGAAGCCTAACTTTTTTTAAATGTTCATCTCTTTTTTTTTAATTTTTAAAGCTATCATTTTTATTCCCAGCGTATAACGCGCACCCATAAATTTCGATCTTGTTTTTTGTGTTAAAAGTGCGCGTTATACGCCGGATTTTACGGAAGTAGAATGCAATAGATGAATGTATTAAGATAAATAGAATATAAAGTTAATAAATTCTGGGAAACTGAAAACTGCTTTTCAAATTTTCCCCCTTTAAATCTGGCATCTTTAAAAACTCACAAATTTATTAAAAAGTAAGGAAATCTCATGAATGTAAGAATTGTAATGAGTATTATTAATTGAATGCTAGCAAATATTTTGTTACTTAGACGTAAATGAATTCGTAAAGATTTAAAAAATATCATTAATTGCATTCCATATAAACGTTTTTTTTGTTCTGCGAAGAATCTTTTCTTTAAAAAATAAAATATAATTATTCTACTTTACCAAACGATTACACAATTTCTTAGCTTTAATTTCTATGACAACCTACTATAGCTGTTAGAGATGTAAGACTACCAGATTGGCACCTTCATCGTATGGCCTTATCGGACATACTGTAATGAAGAAGAACTTATGACATTTGTGTGTATACTTTGTATACCTCAAATAAGTGATATTCAAAAGTAAAAAATTAAAAAAGAAAAAAAATGTTAACACTTTTGAAAAGGCTATATATATAAATAGTTCGAAAGTTTGGTGAACTTTTACACACATTTGATTGTTGAAAGAAGAAAAAAAATGGTGACAAATGGGTAATTTCGCTTTTGTTCTGAGAAAACATTGCCCTTTTCTCATCAATTATCTGTTTTTTTTGTTTTTTTGTTTTGTTTTAATCATTGTTATCACTTCGCTTTCCTCTTTATTTTAACAAAAAATTCAATCATTTGCTGTCTTTTTTATTTAAAAAAAAGTTCGAAGTTGTTTCTAACAGTGAATGGTTGTGAAAGATTTACAATGGACTAAATTCATGTGACTGCATAGTTACATGATAACGCAATCACTTATACCCTTACCAATCAGTTCATTAAATGTAAGGACATAGTCACATGGTAAATGCAATAACGTGTTTCATGCACTTCACAGTTGTCAACTTTTTCTTTTAACTCAAACTTGCTTTAAAAAAACGTACTCTTATTTGTCGACCACAATGACGCACATTGGTCAATAAAATGTATTTAATTAAAAGTAATACACGCCTAATATAAGAATTTTTTTTAAAAAAAACTTTTAGGAAATCTTTCTTTTAAAGAATTTGAATGATAGAACACATATATTTACCCACACACGATTAATATATTTTTAATTTTATCTAAATATTACAAATAGAACACAAGTCTTATGTCAGCTTTGAATTCAATGGTGAACACATGATTGTATTTATCACGTGACTGTCATGAATTTAGCCCATTGATCAAACCAATAAATTACAAGGTCGAAGCAAAAAATTTTAGAAATAATATACATATATTTATATCATGTACTTTACATTGTTACTTCTTGTGTCCTTCAACCCAATAATAGTAAATAAAGTATTTAAAACAAAAATTTTAAAGTTTCTCAAGTGCTTTTAAAAATATGAATTTCCGCTTAAAAAATAAATTGTTCATTCAAATGATTTGGTGTGTGGATATAAAAGGTTGTTTATAATTCCCTCCAAGATTTCAAAATGTTATAGTAAAAAACTAAATCTTATGTGGCAAAAAAGAACACCTGAAAGAATACAGAAACAGTTCGTTTTATTTACATACCTTGTGACGGGGCTTTATCGCGCCTTTCACTAAATCCTCTTGGGGAATTTTTGGGGTCAGAATGGCATTTCCTTCTAACCAACTCAAGAAGAAAACGCGATATGCAGATTAGGGACGAGTATATATATTGGAGCTTTAGTATTCGCATAGAGTCTTAGGAAGCATTAGGAAGACTTAAAGATTCCTAAGGAGGTCTTAGAGAGGTCGGCTGTAGACCGTACAGTAATATAGGAGCCATATAGAAGTCGGATTGAAGCCAAAAGGTTGCCTAGTAGCCGGATCAAGTTGGATTACAGTAATATATAGTAAATAGAAAAGATTGGTAACTGTGTTAGAGAGCCGAGGAATATCGGTAAGCGATAGAATATTAAACTTTAATGATAGAGCGGATTCTAGTTAGTTAAGGAAACGGCTACAGATAAAGATTCGGAGGTTAATTTATCATAAAGATAGTGAGTAGGATTGAATGCGCTATTTGCTAAGAATTGTTATTTACGTCATATCTCACTCCTGATCATTTTCCTCTAAGACTTGTGTTGCATTGCTTAATATAAATTGAGATAATAATAAACTAGATTCATTATGGAAGGATTGAGTGGTCGATCTTTTATCCCTACAAATCTAGGTCGCGTGGGGAAAGAGATGATACCCCCAGCCTGGGGGGTATCACAATCTTACAGCTCTTTTATGTGTGAAACATTGGTTAGATGGTTTACATCAATGCGATAGTTCAGTTCCTGCCATAGTCTAGTCAACATGGTACTATAATCGTTGTTGACAGCCCGTGTTATCCTATCATGCAGTTCCACGACATCACGTGGCAAAGAGGGCGCGATAACTTGGTCTTATGGAAACGACCAATCTTTCGGAAAACACGGAAAGGATAACGCATGTTGTCGATAACGTTGATAGTAACATGTTGAGTAGAGAATGGCAGGAGATGGACTATCGCATTGATGTAAGCCATCTAACAAATGTTTCACGCGTATAAAACAGCTGTAAAAGTATGTAAATAAAATAAAACTTGAATTGTTTCTGTATTCTTTCAAGTTTTTTTCTCTTGCTGTATTCGTCTTAATGTTTTTACTATAGCGTTTCGAAATCCTGCATGGAATTATGAATGACCCTGTTGTTGTATGTTGATTATCCTGGGATACATATGAAATACAAGTGTGGAAGAACAGAATTATACAGTACAAACAGAAAATTATAGACATTTATTACGATGATCCCAGCATATAACAGAAGGGATACGCTGCTTTCCATTCGAGACGGGAATCCATTACAGGCGAAAGTCCGACTTCTTTTCCCGAAGAAAATACAACTATGCTTTACTCGGGATTCGAACCCGAACCCGCTCGGTCACAAGCCGAGGATGATAACCACCATACTGGATGGCTTGAATAACCGTATATAATGTTTTTAGGTACTTACGTATTATTGCAACAATCACCAACTCTCTATTAATAACTCGCTAAGTTGGCAACCCCGATTTCCCATGTGTCGTAGGCTCTGAATTGACAACCAGGTGCTTCGTTTCATATAATGTCACCAGTAGGTTGCGATAATACGCTAAGTACCTGTTTTTAGAATCCCAATAGGATAAAAAGAATCCCGAATTTTAGAGCACTAACGATTTGTTCCAATAAACAGTTTTCTTAATATCCAGTTAAAATTGACTAGTCAATCCCATTTACACAACCAAATGAAAATATCTACTTCGAAAGATAAACAGTTTACTTATGATATTATATTATGTCTAATCAAAGAGATAATATCAAATGTAAACGTTTTGTTCCGATAATTTAAAATGCAATGTGTATCTATTACATTTTCCATATGATCAATAATATAGTACAAATAAGAAGATAAACCAATGAACTATTAAGTTCTCTTGTACATATTATTTTGAAACTTTTTCACGCTTATAAAGTTAGGATGAATTGTATAAGAGTTATAATTTTAAAGAGATACATTACATAAATTTTGCAAAATCAATGAAAATTTCTGAAACGGGAAATTTTAATTTTTTTAATGAATTGTGCATACATTTACACTTTATAAAATTGATCTGAAGTTATTTTGGTTACACTTTTTTATTTTTCAATACCTAATAATCTCTTTTACTCATTTACTTTCACGCAAAGCACATACTCCTCTCTTCAGTAACAGTTGGATAAATTTATAAAGCATGTAAAAATATTCGATTTTTTTGGAATGGGATGTGTTTAAAAGTTTTTTAACCCATGAATCGATTGATTTGAAATGTATGCGTCATTTAGAAAATACCACTAACAAGCAATCAATATCATATCTAAGCATAGAAACAACAATTATATCTAATCATTATTACTAGTTGGTTTTTTTTTATATATACTGCTTTTACTATTTAAATTTTGCTTAGTTTGTATTGGAAATTTATTGAACTTTTTCGACGAAACATTTTACTTTCTATTTTATCTTGTATGGAAATATTTCATATTTATGAATAGTTTTTATTTTATTCATGGAGATTATCACCTCAATTTTTCTTGGATTTTTTTTTTCATATCATGATAAAAGTTCCGAAAACACACACAGTCACATACCACACACACACTGATCATTTTTAAAACAAAATTTAAAAATACGTAATATATTCACTACAAACACACACACACTTCACATCCAAATCAATGTGCATGGGGTCAAAAACCAGAAAAAGGGAATAACTGCAGAAATCATGATTGTGCAGAAGCTGTTGTTTTTTGTTATTTCATAGGGAAAATTCAACCTTTAGGATGCTCTTTTGAGAAAACGTAACAGAAAAATGTCACGACAGTGTGATCTAACGGAATCCATGGCTTGGTGTATTATCGGAAACTGGAATCCCGACAGGCACAAAGAACTGTAGTGCATGCTGTTGGAGGGACAATAAGTGTCATTGCTAGACTGTGCAATGGATTATAAGAAGCAGTACATGTTCGACATCAGATAGGGCAAGATCGTCCACAGGTTACCTCGAAAAATAATCAACGATATATCCTGTAAACAGCTCGTCCAGACTACGATTCAAAGACAGCTTCTTTTGGCAACGGGATGGACGTTCTCAAGCCAAATAATCCGAAATGGGCTGCATGCATGTTGGCCAATGGTGAGTATTTGTTGATAGCAAGACACCATGATACTCGAAGAAAGTGGGTTGCTGAACATTGAGATTGGATACAGAGTGACTGGAGTCAAGCGCTGTTTAGTCTATATTCAGTTTAGCCAGACGGGCTTTGGTATGGCGAGAAAAGGGCTTTGGAAATAGCCCAATATTCATACAGGAAACATCATCTTACAGACTACGTGGTTTGATTACACGAACTAGTATCATCATAGGCGGATGTACTGACCTGCATATCATACGGAATGATACTCTAAAGGCTCAAAGGTATGCAAGAGATACCCTTCGACCCAGGGACGTCTTATGACTTCTTGAGACCCTGGGGCCCTACCCAAAAGTAGATCCTGAGCCCTTACACAGATGTAGGCCCTACGTATGACCTATATATTAAAAGTAGACAGTATGTAGCATACGTTGTCAAATACTCGTACAAACAGTAAACCGAAACAAATAAATGTGCATGGCTTACAATCGCATAAACCGGCTCAACCATCTACCGCCTTTTGACTGAATGAGTAATAATGGAGTACAGTAGCGCACACAGAAATTTTTCAAGGGGGGTCCGGGGTCGAAAGTTCATCATTCTTGTATCATGCTCCTTTTGATTTTGTCGATTTTCGGGAACAAAACACAGTAAAAAACTAATTTTTGAATAAATAATCAGCATGAATTAATAAAATTAATCATAAATAACAAGTAACTAATTAAATTTTACGTACTATATACTTAGAATTATAATCAATCGGAAAAAAATCAATGGCTTTGGGGGGGGTCCGGACCCAAGAACCCCCTCCCCCCTTGAGTGCGCCACTGATGGAGTATGGTGGTAGGCTTACACAGTCATACACGACGGTCATCATACATATCTAGTTGACATATTGTCCGAAATTCTCACTTTTTCGGAGAATACAACCGGGAAAAACAGTTGACCATTGAAGTTATTCGAATCATGATCTTTTTTAGTCTGAGTCGAGACGATCTCCCCGTTGTCGCCGAGGCCTTGGGCCCGGGCCCAGTTGGCCCATGGCATAAGACGTCCCTGCTAAGACCCCTGTCGTACCTTATGTTGTAGCTATTGGTGATTCTTTTCTTCTAATGCAAGCTAATGCCAGAAATCATACACCTCGTCTTGTGCAGAATTTTCTTGAAGTTAAAAAAATACAGCACGTTATCCTGACCTATATCTTATATAGCATTCTTGGGACTCATTAGAACGACACATTTATGGAGATCACAGCCTTCGCTTACGGTGTGGCACGTAGAGGAATACACTCCTTGAAGAGTAACAGTATTCCCCAAAATCTCAACGATAACTTCATCGCATCCAAGCTATACAGGTGTGTGGCAGTCTTAACAGTTAGGGGCCACACACCGTATTTAGCATCCTGTATCAATTCTAAGTAATCAATTCATTGGCATTTACATGTAACCTAATTGTTGGCCTGAAGCAACGTTTCATGTTCTTTATACCATTCCAAAGAATTAAGCTTTTTTGCTTCTTTTTTCAATTCCTACTATTAGCTCATTCTCTCCCTAAATATCTCTATCTATCTATCTATCTATCTATCTATCTATCTATCTATCTATCTATCTATATATATATATATATATTTTATTAACGATTGAAAATTTGATATATATGTATATATATATATATATACATATATATTATTGTTCAAATTTTCAATCGTTAATAAAATATTTTCTGTCCATCCATTCAAGTTCAAATACATTTCTTTCAAATTGTAGTGGATGAAACTTGATGTTAATACAGTTTTTTCAAATATTAATTCATTAATTAGATTAAAAATGAATAAATAGTAACAAACAAAAATAATAGTTAATCAATACATTTAGAAAGGAAAATTGCTCGTTGTGTCCCTGTAGAACAATGGATAGCACATAGGATTTTTAATCCAAAGGTCACGGGTTCGAATCCAATCTGGGATGACCTAATTTCTGAGAATGGGATTTCTTTTTTACTATACAATTTTATTAGAATAATTAAATTTAATTAATGAATGAATAGTTAACAAAAAATAGTCCAACACCCTATATAGAAAGGAAAACTGAAAATTGTAAGGAAAATCGCTTTCTATTTTGCCGCTTAATATTGTGATTCTGTCATGTATATACATATTAACATTAATTGTAACCATTTAATTAAAAAAGTAACTAAAATAAATTTTTTTATTGACCTAAGTAGGAATTGACTTAATTTTTTTTTGTATTAAACTTTTGTGTTCTGTATTGAGCTTTGTTACACCTGTACTCTCAATTTTATACCCTTTCATGGCTATCGTGCAAAATTTCTTCACTTTTTTGGTTTCTAATCTAATTTTTTGCAATGCAGTACAAAAGAATACAAACAATTCTCAGGGAAAATTTTAGGTTCGTTCATCTTGTTTTTAACACGTTTTTATAAGTTTCACTTGTATGTAATGGAATCTTGAACTCGATTTTCCCCCAATTTAAAAGGTCAGATTAATTCGAAATTTCGCACACTTGTCAAGGACCGATGACAAAACAATAATTTCACAATTTTGTTTCATTGTCCTGATTAGGATCTTTATAATTAAGGATTATAAGGATTTGGCGACTAATTTATAGATTTGGCGACTAATTCCATATGCCATTTCTAATTTGGCGACTAATTCCATGCCATTTCTAGATTTGGCGACTAATTCCATATGCCATTTCTAGATTTGGCGACTAATTCCGTATGCCATTTCTAGATTTGGCGACTAATTCCAGATTTAGCACCTAAAAGATTAAGGGGCCACCCTAAAACTGCAAACGGGAATAAAAATAATTTGTGTTCTAACTGCTAAATATATTTTTTTTTAATTTTGATAAAGCAGTATGTTTAGAAGTGATGATACGAATTAACATTTCGCAATACGTTTAAAAGGTGATTATACGATTGACATTTAATATTTCTTCTTGACACACTTTTATTAGTTACACCTGTATCTATAGAGACGGAATCTTTGAAATACAACGATAGGGGGCTTATCCGAGGCCCCGTAAACGGAGAGAATAAATACCCTTCAGACCCATTAATTAATATCCATTAAAGAGCAAGACTAATTCCATGAGCCACATAATTCAGGTTTCATGTATCAAACTCAAGAATAAATTCAACAAAGAATAAATGATAGTTTTAAAAACTAAAAAACAGGCTTTTATTGTAGATCGAACTAAAGAATGAAAAATAAATTATGGTGTTAAAAAACCCCTAAAAAACACGC